GAAAAAGCACCACTTGCTTCCGGAAAAGCTGATGAGGAAGGGCCAAATGTTGTAGAGACTTAATAAGATTTCTAAGAATGAAGCATACTGAACAGTCAACTTCTTTATTTTAAAAAAAAGACTTCAAATTTTTAAAAAATTTATATGTGTGCATGTGTATGTCACATGCATGCCAGTGTCTGCAGAGGCCAGAAGATGGTGTCAGATCTCTTGGAGCTGGAGTTATAGGCAGTTGTGAGCCACCTGAGATTAGTACTGGGAACTGAACCTGGGTCTTCTGGAAGAGTAGCAAGTACTCTTGAACACTGAGCCATCTCTCCACAGTCCCCCCCCCCCATAAACACTGTGTGTGTCGTGCACGTAGTTTGTGTTGTGAATGCACCCATGTGCATGCATTTGGAAGTCAGTGGAGAAAGTCAGTCAAGTTATACAACTAGAATTTAAAGATGAACGCATTGTCCCAGCATAGACGAGTCTACTTTACAGTTAGGAACGTTCATACAGATCAAAGCAACAAGGTAAGACAGTATATGATCAACATTTAAAGGCTTTGCCCATCTACAGCTGTGGCCTTTTCTGTGCCATCTCCCCAGAGTTCTCCCCCCAGGTCCTTGTTGGGCCTAGCTGCTCTCCCGTCAACCATGTCTCGGTTACAACATGACCAACTTGGGCCCAAAGTGGGTCAAAGTGAATAGCCCCAAACCACTCTGCACCATCACACACTTTTCTGATCCTCTGCAACATTCTTATTTACCGTCTCTATCTCCCTTGCACTGGCACAAAGTTGATACTTCATAAATAGCTGACAGATGAATAGGTGAGTGAAAGATCTAGACCAGAAGGTTCAGGAAGGAAGCAAATCAATAATGCTAGGTTTCCAGACAAGGGTTTTGGAGGAGACAGCCTGGAGAGGCCAGGCACAGGGGTGGAAACACACAGGGTTGTCTGAGGTTACCATGAGATCAGGGGTTGACTATGGTAGGGTATGGTGAAAAGGAGAGTGGGAGCCTAAAACACTGGTCCATGAGTGACTTAAGAGTAAAGGGTAGCTCCCCAAGAGAAGTAACCAGGAATGATACTTCAAACCCAGCATCTTAGGAAAGATGACGGGATTTCCAAGCTAGAGTCCACAATTCCAAGCTAGAGACACATGGGAGGTGGCTGAAGAACAGGGCAGAGACAAAGGCTGTGCAAACTCTTCATCAGGGTGATGATACACTAATAGAAGTGGGAAAATGACTGATAAAATTTGGTCCAGCAAAGTTCTCGGCTGCTCAGTGCTGCACAGTCTGGGGTAGGAGGAAGAAGAAGTCAAGAACGGAACTCAAAGGCCCTGTCCCCTGAAGCCCTAAATTCAGCAGTCTCCACTGCACAGCAAGGCCTGTTTCATTAAATTTTTCCCTTCCCGCCCTCTGGGAGACTGGCCCTTTGTCACTGGGGTCTCGTGGTCCTGATGAGGATCCACAAAGTGGCATAACATATTTCTATTTGGGGTTTTGCATAGTTTACATGACATTTGGGAGGGGGTGACTTACAAAGAAATGGCTTCTCATAACCCCCTCCGCCATTCAAGCCCCGCACCACGCTCAGTGGGATGCCGTTCCCCTGTCGCTCCGGGAGTTCCCACATGGCCACCATTAACTCTTGTATACTCCCTCTCCATCTGAAGGGCAGATCCACCCCTTGTCCCAGGGTGCTCCTCGTCTTGCCCCTGGCTGTCTTACTCTCGGTAGGCTCACTTTTTTCAGAGGAATGAGTACTTTTCAGGCTACACCTAAATTCAGTGGTCTCCACTGCACAGCAAGACCTATCTGAACCTTCTAGTTGCATTCAGCATAAGACAGACATGACCAACAACCAGGCCAATATCTTCACGAACTCATTCCCTGAGCAGAGCCCCAACATATTCTTGCATTACAGATAGTAAGACCAAATAGCACAAGTGTCTGCATTTTCAAGGTAGAATCTGAATTTGAACCTTATCAACATGAAAAATATACTTCTATTATTGACCATAAAGCTTTTGTGAGGATAAAATGGTATAGAAGAAAATGTTTTGAGTTTAGGAACATGTGAGTATTGATTTCACAAAGAACATAATGTACTTTCTGAAATTTCCTCTTGGGAATTTTATACTGTTGCATGGCATGGAGCACTGCCTTAGCAAGCTAGAGGAGTCTGAACTTTCTGGATGAGGAAGAAAGTGTTAGAAGCAATAGCTACAGCTGCACAATATGGGACTATGTGGGTCTACAGCCCTTTGTGTGTGTGGTGCTGGTGACTGAATCCAGGGCCTTACGTATGTTAGGCAAATTTTCCACTGAGCCACATCCCCAGGTCCGTTCTGTTCATGACCTTAACTGTTTAGGTCTAGCCTTGCACATGGGTATCTACTATATATTTATTAATAAGTTTTAAATTTTTATTATTATTGACCACTTTATCTTCTGTCTTAAATAAGAAAAATAATACACAAGTCAGGAACAAGAAGAAATTCCCACAGCATCATAGACTTCCTGTTCCCTTTTCTCTACTTCCTGCCCACATACTAATCTTGAGCTTCCCCTGTCTCTATTCCATAGCATCCTAACATCCTATGGTCCTGCCTGAGGAATTTTGCATATGCTTCCATCATTTACTCTTAAAAAATTCCTCAGTGGTGTTGGGTTGGATCAGGTATAAGACAGACAAAACCAACAACCAGAGCATAGGGTAATTTTTTTCTACTCCTGGTGTTTCTTCCACAGGGAGGGATGTGGTCAATTGTAAGACCTTAGCTTCCTCAGCACCCACCCCCAAACACACACACACCTCAGTTCTCTTCTTAAATAAGACAATGTGGTGTAGGGGCTGGAGAGATGACTCAGCAGATAAGAGCACTGGCTGTTCTTCCAAAGGACCCAGGTTTGATACCTAGCACTCACGTGGAGGTTAACGACCATCCATAACTCTAGTTCCAAGGGATCTGACACCCTCTTCTGACCCCCTCTGGCACTGCACAATATGGGTGCACTTACACACATGCAGACAATACTCATATACATGATATAAAAATAATAAATATTTTTAAACCATTTTTTAATAAAAGAGATAATGAAGTAGCTTGTCTTATGGGGAAGTCTGGAAGGGACCCTGACATTCCTTGCCTGCCTGCTGCTTCTGCCCTTCCTTTGGGAGCAAAGTACCCACAAGCAGCGGGTATCCTGAGTTTATGTAGATCCTGAGCCTTGCAAGGCTGCCCCATGTACTGTGACCTGCCATGAACAGGACCAACCTGCAAGGAATTCACTAGAAGCCTCTCCTATCAAGTTACCTCCTCCAGGGTACGGTTTTTCAGTTTTATAGCTCATGAATTTGTCTTCCTCTTCCTCGACCTTTTGTTCTTCTCAGCTGGCTCAGAAATCAGGACCGAAGGTTGACACTGTTCTCTAAAGCCTATATCAAAGCAAACACTTTGCACTGTCTATGAAATAAGCCTGACAGTTAAGGTCGTCCACCAGAAAATAAAGAGATCGGTATCAGTCAACTCCCTAGACTCAGTTTCCCAATCCACTACACCCTGGAACTGCCATAGGCCCCAAGGCAGTCACTATACCAGGGTCCTCTGACCGCCTGTACATGTGTCGTATGTTCATCTCTCCTGGCTTAGGTCTTTCTGTTCTGTTGGCATTTATATCCACCAAAATTCTCCCCAGAGGTCTAAGTGGCCTACCCACACACCATTTCTCACTGTGCCTTCTCCAGCTCCCAGGGGTCCTCTCTTTTACTTGGAACGTTTCTCATTTTCTTTCTTTGCCAGGAATTTCCTCTCCGCCTGCCATTTTTCCTTTCACACGTTTGTGGGGCAGCACATGTTCTAAGCTCTCCCATGATGTTCCTACCTCCAAGTCTCCCTGGGTCCCCTAGAGAGCTGAATGCTCCCCACAACTGTTCCACAGTACCCTGCATAGTATATCAACAAATATACTGAATTTAAAACTCCCTTTGACTTTTCTCAAGATGCTATGAAGGAACACAAATGCTCTTACACAGAGTTACCACTTCCACCGCCGAGGGGAAGTTGCCTTGACCAGCAGGGATATCAAACACAGGAACTACTATGTAAATGTCAGGCTGGGGACAGGCACCAGCGGAAGAGAGAATTCTCCAGGCCTCACAGAAAGGTGGTCTGAGGTGAATAGCACCCTGCCAACTGTCTAGCTTTTCCCCAGCTTTGAATTGGACACAATAGCACTGAGTCAACTTCCCTAGAAGGTTAATGGCAAACTGCAATGCTCAGTCCCTAGAACCAAGAAGGAAACCCTTAAATTTAAAGAGGAAGGGGACGTATGCAGGCCACCCAGACTAAATGCAACAGGAAAGGAGTCTCTGTGCTAGCCTTCCCCCTCTGCTGAGTAGGAATGCCAGAATGTGTTTAAGGCAACAGCAGGTCCCGGCTCAAATGACATGTCTGAATGTGGAGGCCATGACATTTTTCTCACTGGCTTGAAGCTTGGGAAGTCTGATATGCCCTCTTTGAAGTCTGCTCAGTGCCTGGGGAATGCGTGGGTTTGAGGGGCTAGATAAGACCCTCTTGGGCTCAAGTATCAAGAGGCTTTTTTCCCCTTAATACATGCTGCTGGGAAAATTAGGAGGGCTCAAATTCTGTAATTTTTAACAGGAAATATTGAATATGCTTTGCTTCTAAGTGAGGGTGAAATGAATAGACCCCATGGGTTAAGCCAAGGGGAGAGTGAGCTCCCTGCCACATGAGGCAATCAATATAGGCCAGAGGTCTTCTAAGCATGTTATAAGAGGGATTCCTGACTTTAGGGAAGCCCTTTGGCAGGTCCTATAAATACGTAGCCATTGCATGACCTCATTCTTGGAACTCAAATGCACTATATGAAGAGTGCCCCATTCTATCCCATGTTTCATTTTGGGTCATTCCACTAGGCACCGCTCACACACTGAACTGATCACATTCAAGGTGGTCCAAGACAAAGGATTTGTAACAGTACCGATTTTGGTGAGCCACTTGGCCACAGCACCATAGATCTCATCCAAGATGAGGATGACCACAAGGTTAATGATAACCGCCGTTGCTGTCACGGTCACCCGGACATTGGAGCGTGTGGCCTTGTTGAGGGACAGAGCAGCTGCAGTTGTGATCCGATACACAATGACTCCAAAGACGATAGAGAATGTCAGAGCAATCTGTTCAGGGAAAGCAGAGACGCAGGCAATTATTGAGCAGGAAAATACATCAGTAGGAAACTGTTGAGCACCTACTCTTTGTTTAACGGACAGTATTGTTAGCTACATTAGCTGTTAGTAAACTCTAGATTCTGAGTGGGCAACAAAGGGCCTAGAGAGCCACCAAGTTCTCATGTAGTCTCATGACTGATAGTGCATTTTCAAGGCAGAGCATCTTCAATATTTATCATCTTTAAAATAGTCTATAGCACATACAACATAAACGAAAATGAGAATTTGGAGACTTTGGGGTATAAAATACACATCCTGTGATTTCTTTCATTCAGAAACTTTCAACCTACTATGGAGATAAGATGAACTGTTTTTACACCATAGTAGGGAACAGGTGTGAGATTATTAAGTGCTAAATGAAGACAGCTGCTAAAGAACTCGGCATGCAGGGGAGCAGGCAGGGGAGCTGGCCAGGGACTAGCTATGGAGGGAATGAACTTCGAATTGGACCATCCACGAAAGGAAATCGGGAGCCACTGAAGATGTTGGAGCTGGGACAGGACAAGTTATAACTTGATAGATGGGAAAAGAAGGTTGAACACAAAGGATGAAAAAAATAAATCGGAGTATTTGCACATCAGTCCACTCAGGGTGAATAAAATCACCACGAATTCTCTACCAGGCACCTTGGAATGGACAGCGTACATTCTAATTTGCTGTATAGATGTCTTACTGCCCTGTTCCAAGGAGCTGTACCAGCCCCTTGACCTTCAAGGTCCACATTTTTTTTCTTATAGAATCTAAGAATGCCAGTTCTCCTAGACTTATAGAGCCAACACCACCCCTTCCCACGTCCCCAGTCCTGCTCCTCTTCCCTCTCCAACCAAGGAAAAACAGTAACCAGGAAGCACCAGGAAGCTATGAATCAAAAGTGCCCAATTAAATCCCTTCTAGGTGCAGGCCCACCCTGCCCCACCTCAATCCATCAAATCTGAATTTGCCTCAGATCAGGGAAATCTTTTTCCATCCTTGCCACAGATAAGGATGTTCAGGCTGGTCCTGGCTGGTCTCTAGGGTAGAAGGGATTGGGCACTGGCTATGAAAGGCTATGGAAAATGTGGGATGAGAGAAGGGCAGGTGAAAATTTCCCCTGAAATACAAAAGTATCCTGGAGAATGCATTCTGGAGAGGAGGGAAGGGGAGAGCAAAGGAGGGGCTTGAACGGTGCTTTGCAAGCAGTGTGAATGATACTCTGGTGAGCTGGGAATGGGTTACAGATGTGTCTGCATATGGACCATCCGGACTTCTGGGGTGCCAGGGTACTGAAGCTTCGGATGCTAGTATCAGATCAGGCTGCCTATACAAATGTTAACATTTGCCCTGTGGACCACAGTGGTTAAAAAAAAAAAAAAAACCAGGAAGGTAGTCTTTTCTGGATCAAGGGAGAGTATTCCAATGTGTGTGAGCATGTGTGTGAGCGTGTGCCTCTGTGTGTGTGTTTGCAAGGGATGACAGATGGGAAAACACTCCATGGGAGGCCCCTCTTTGGATGGGGGTTCACTGGCAACACCAACCTGCAGGATAAGGGAAGGACGACTACTCTGAGTGGGAAACCTGGACATGACATCACCCCATTCCAACAATGTAGACGATTCACTTCCAACTCCTCTGGGACGGTCACTGCCAGACAGTAAAGGCCTGGAAAATGTAGTGCGAGAGTCTTTTCCCCCAAAATCATTTCTGCAGTGAAGACCAGTGATAGAAGTATTGATGAAGCGAGTAAGCAAGTGTGTGTGTGTGTGTGTGTGTGTGTGTGTGTGTGTGTGTGTGTGTCTGTCTGTGTCTGTGTCTGTGTGTCTGTGTCTGTGTGTCTGTGTGTGTCTATGTGCAGATTGGGTGGGGTTGGGAGAAGACTAGGAGAAAATGGAAAATACATCCCTTGTTTTAGGGCCATGGGGGAAGGAATGGGGAAAGATGCAGAAAAGACCAGCTCTTGGACTTCTCTAAGGACGGACTGCTAAGTAGGGGAAAAGATAACTTGTCTCCCTACTCTGTGGCATAGTCCATAGCCTTGAGGACTGCACCACCTGTGGGCTTGATTGAGATGCAGAATCTCGGCCTGACTCCAGACCTCCTGACTTAGAATTCGCACTGTAACAGGATTCCCAGTCAAAGCCAGAAGCACTATCTCCTCAGTGTCATTGTCCAAGGTGCATCTTTACTCACAGTAATCCTTAAAACCACCACACATTCTGAAATGAGATTTCACGGTGATCCAGGACTGGACCACACCCTGTGGCACCAAGCCTATACTGCCATCTTGACTTTAGATGTCAGGTCTTCTGCTGTTAACTCCAATGGCATTTCTATACTACTTGTGGTTGTATTGTTAATTTTGTTTGTATTCAATGATATTTCCTGACCAGTCATCCTGTAAACTGTTGCATTGCAATACTGCGTATTTGTGATCATGACTAGGCCAAAAGAGACTTGGTCTTGTGTCGCATTCTACAGATTATGCCATGGTGTAGAAGTTCTTCATGTGTGGAGTCAGCTTGGTAAAGATTTGCTCATCTTCAAACACAAGTGACCTATCTACACTGGACAAGGTCACATGAGTCCAGTCCTTATGGCTCTTGGTGTTTTAATCCCATAACTTTGCCTTTGGGTCCTAAAAACAACTACAATCCATTGTAGTTTGAATGTGAACTGTCCCCCATAGACTAATGGGCTTGAAAATTCGATTCCCCAGCTGATGCTGCCATTTTAGAAGGTTGTAGACGCTTTAGGAAGGTAGACCGTGCAGGAAGAAGTAAGTCACTGGGGATGGGCCTTGAGGTGTGCTAGGCTAGCCTTACTTGCTTCCTCTCCTTCCTGTCTTCAGATACAATGTGGCAGCCACTGTACACTCCTGCCATCACACCTTGCCTACCATCACAGGCTGTATCCCTTCCTAAACCACAAGCCAAAAATGAATCCTTTGTCTTAGCTTTGTCTACCTGGCATAGGTAGAGTGAAATGAGAGAAAAGTCATGATCGAGGAGTTACCTAGATTAGATTTTCCTGCTGGGTATGCCTGTAGGGGTTTGCCTTGATTATTAATGAATGTAGGAGGGTCCAGTGCGTGATAAGTAGTATCATGCCTAGGCAGGTGGTCTCCAGCAGTGTAAGAAAGCCAGCTAAGCATGAGCCAGAGCAAGGGAGCCAGCAAGATGTCTTCCTCCATGGCTTCTGCTTCAAGTGCCTGTCCTGACCTCCCTCAGTGATGGACTGTGACCTGGAAGTATAAGCCAAATAAATCCTTTTCTTCCCTAAGTTGCTCTCCATCAGAGAGCACCAGAAAAGAAACTAAAACACCCCTCTCTTAAGTTGCTTCTTGTCAGGTCAGAGGAATGAAGAAAGTGACTAGTACACAATGTAAATCAGGACATAGAGAGTGTCATGGGAGACAGAAAGGAGAGATGGCCCGCACCCCACACACCGAGACTTGCCTTCTGAAGTGACGTTGAGAAAATCATTGTACACACGCAACAGGGTTGAGCTGAGGAGCAGCTGGCCTGAGCCCCAGGCTTGAGGTATGTTCTGACAGAAAGCAGGGGATAAGCCAAGAAAACTCTACTGAAGTATGGGGCTGTCCCCTATGGGAAAACCTTGGGTGAAAAGAACGTGGAGGAGGGAGAATATTCTAGAAAAGTGAGGAGAAACAAGGAGAACTGTACAAGGCAGAAGCAACCTCTGCTGGTCCAGTGAGACAGTGCTCAGCCTGGGGCACCGCATGTAGTAGTACCACAACTAAAAACACTACAAACACGTACACACCAACAGCTTTGTCATGACATTATCAGCTACCTCTGACATTCCACTTAATGAATCTATTTCCCCACTCAGTCATTTTAACAGCTGTCCAAAGCCTAGGTGTCTGAAACACAGCAGGAGAAAACCAAAGGCAAACCATCTAACAAACTAGAAATTAGTTCTTTTCTGGGGTTGATCTTCTAGTGAGAAAAGATAGATAATAAACCAATAAACAGGTAAAACACATAGGATCTCCAGCTTCCAATCCTCCAGCCTCAAGAAGAATAGGAATTAGAGGCATGCACCAGCGTGCTTTTTCCATATGACATGATCAAGTTGTTTCAGGCCCACTTTTGGAATGAAACCAGCCCCAGACCACTCCGCACATCACTCGGGCCAGCCCCCAGCACCTACTGAATGACCTCAGCAGCTTCTTGCTTGACCACCTTCTCTCTACTCTTGCCTTCCTACCAGCGTTGCTCACAGCAGTCAGAGGGAACCTTTCACACTGCAGGTCAGATCATGTTACTCCTCTGTGAAACCTTCTCCTTGGAGTTCCCATCTCATACAGGGTGCGCTCACATCCCTGCCATCCTGTAGAATGCTCCCTCTGGCTCCCTGTGGCCTCTGTGGCTGTATCCCTCAGCCATGCTGTGTCTGTTCTTGTTTACTGCTTCTTGTTCTTCTTCCCACCAGATACCCTACCTTGGAGTCCTTTCCCTCGCTCTTCCTGCTCCCTAGAATGCCCCCACCTCCCCAATTTTTGTGCCTGACTCCTTTACCCACAACAGATCCTCGCTAAAATATTCTCAATGAGGCTTCCCTATTCAATCTACTTAATTGATACATTTGGTGCTTTTAAATTTTATTTTATTAGGAACATACAGGAAATTTCATTAACACACACGTACACACAGATGAATGTAAAAACAAACTCCAGCATAACCTACCTGCCTCTCGTCACACACACCAGCTCTCATCCAGGCTCTTCCTTCAGACCTAACTGACTGCTTAGCTGAGTGACACTCATTTCCCTCCCTATCTTTATGGTTCTTTAGGAATGCGTCATTAAACACACCATCTACGCTTGCCTTTCTGAACTTTGCCCGACTAGAATCAAAGCCTGCATGTTCTTTGTCTGTTTTTGTCACCCAAGTTGCTCTGTATCATGATTAGCTTGTTCATTTTCATGACTGCGTGGTCCTTAATTGTGTAAATATACCTCAGTTTATTTATCTGTTCTAGTGGGGACAGGCATTTGGACCTCTTGCAGTTTGGGGTTATTATAAACAGTGCTTCACGGATGTTTTTTTGTGTGTATTTTGCTCTGTGTGCCAGTAAGATTTTCTAGGGCATGTACCTAGGAACGGAATTTCAGGGCTCTAGGTTTTAATTGGTTTGCTAAATAGTACCAGAATATTCCTAATGGCATCTTTAAAAAATTTTTTTAAATGCACTCCCACTAGCAGTATGTGTTTCTTTTGATCTAGATCTTCCCTAACACTTGCTCTTGACAGACTTTTTAATGGCCTGTTGTCTGTTGGGTACATATGGTATTTCACCAGAGTTCAAATTAGAATTTTCATGAATATTAATGAGATGGGTCATCTTTCATAGGTTTATTGGCTGTTGGATTTCTTCTTTAGTAAAGTACCTATTAAAAGTCATTTTTGAGTTTTTTAAATGTGCTGTCTTTGTTGGGTCACAATTCTTTATATATGTTGAGGCCAATTACTATTCTCACCTTCCTGCTTCCCACAAAACCCCTTAGCTAACACCTTTCCTCCAAAGGAAAATGTCCTTAAAGTAAAAACAGCATTAGTGGAAAGATATCTGCACTCTTGTTCCTACTTTCCTTTAGATTTTAACACAGTATTATTACTATCCCAACAGCCTTTGAAGACTAAGAAAGCTGAAAAATATATTTATCCAG